CCCTTTGGGCCCCTATTGCAAATATCAGGGGCAATGACGTCCTAGTTTCTGGACAGACTGCGGTAATCGCCCACATGTCAGCAGTTTTCTGTGTCCTGAATATATTACACATGTGGCATGATGTCATCATGATTCCCTATTGGTCTCCAGACTACTCATTATCAAGTAAATGGCTATAGCAGTAAGTCTGCCGAAGTGTTAGTATACCCAGCGTATCTGTCTTTCCGCCAATTTTGCCTCTCGTGATGGACAAAAACTGGCCATATCTGTAATCTTTGTCCGACAAAAATTGGTGTGTAAAGATATGAAAAGGGTTGTCATAAAACAGCAAAATTTGTCCATCAAAATGAAGGAAATAAAGTTTCAGAAGGTTTCACAATTTTCATGACGTCATAGACTTGCCATCCATGTCAGGAATGAGGAACAGTAGCTATTAATATGTGAACTAGCGGCTGTGGTCCATTGCTTATAATATATGTAATACATGTGAGTGCTGTAATGGAAGTGTAGAAATGGAAATGGGTCGATTTTTCCTGCGTCTGTCATTAGAAAATTAAATGCAGGAGTTATGCTAAACCAATATGCTGCATATGGATAGTTTTATGTATGATATTACAGCATGGATTTGTGGCAACATAAATAAAAGCAAATTTATGAAATTATAATGTAAGTTTATATCCTTTCAGGTATACGTCAGCTCACATGTATGTAAGTTACATTGTGGTAGAGAATGTAACATAGTAAAACCAGCATATTATAATTTACCAGTAGCTGTAATGGGAATGAATTTAGGCAGAAAGCTATTTGCTTGCTTTTAATCTTAAGGTGCTTTGCTTGAAAGCTTTTAGTGTTTCGTGGTTTAGATTCAGAGAGTCTGTATTCTTGTCACGTTTGCTGGTGTAACGGTTAGCCCAGAATATGGATGGAGCCTGGCTGGTATATTTGGTTAACCGGAATACCAGAATATGGATGGGGCTTTTATATGAATGCGAGAAAGCTTTTAGCTTGCCTGAAGCAGAATTATGATGTGTGGAATAATAAGTAGAACATGGGAAAAGCTATCAGTATTCCTACCACATCTTTCTTGTCCGAAATGGCAAGCGGTGAATCGAAATGTGTTCGTTCAAAATGGGGCCTGCATGCTTCTTATTCATGTGGCATAATCAACTGTTTTAATTTTACATAATTCATAGTCAGGGCACTCGAGTTCCGCATAATGCACAATCAGTCGAATTTAATGTGATGTCTTGGGGATGTTTCTGATTTCATAGTGATTTGTCATTTTTTTGTGGTCATAAAATCTCCTGTTCAGTCTTGTAAAGAGGTCGTTTGCCTGGCTAGCAAGACTCTGAGACTCGAGGGAAATAAAAATATTGTTTTTTAGACTGGAATAAACTGCTTCTTTTAATGAATGAATGAAAGACCTTTATTGTACGCTTGTGCTCTAATGAGCTAAGTACAGGTCATGGGTAGACAGGGAAAAGAAAACAGTAATGACACTTACATACTATATAAGCTAATGTATTCTACTATTTACAGGTTCAGCTTCTTCTCGCTTCTTTACGCAGTTAAAGATGTACGAACATATTGAGCTAATTATACATGGTTTGTCAAGTATGTATGTATCACTCTGTTTTTTTATGTGTTCACACCTTTGGAGAATAGCACTAGTATTTTTGCACTGGAGTAAGAAGGGGGAAAATTGTGATTTTTAAAGGAAAATATCTTTTGTTCGTTCAGACTGTACTAATAATCTGTTTCACTTTTTAATGTATTGTCTGTTAAAATCATGAATTACTGTGTTTCTTTGAGTTCACACGTTTGGAGGATTAGTATTTTGGCACTGGATGGAGTAAGAAGGTAGAAAATGGTTTGATTTGTAAAGGATGATGGTTGTGGGAATATCTGTAAGGACCATACTGACCTCAGGACTCCTATGGAATATTAATGTTGGTTAGCAGCGCAGAGTGAAACTTCAAATCTGTCGGGATGGAAGAAACAGGGTTTTACGGAAGTTTCTGTGGCAGGAGACTGCAAGTAGTGCAGCCTTCTCACAAAAATTTAGAGTAGGTGGTTGAAATAAAAAAGTAGCAGGTGAGCCATGAAGAGATTTGTAATGGAGACAATTTTTTTCTTAAATTTACACGAAAGTAGGCGGCTCAAAAATTTGAGTAGGCGGTGATTTTTGCCTGTTGCGGCTTGTTTCGAGAAGGCTGGTAGTGGTTTGAGGTTTAGGGGATCTGAAAGCCCTTTTTAGCAAGATGTAATCATATAAATTATTTTAGTTTTACGTAATTTGTCACTACTATAATACCAGTGTAATCAGTGGCTGGTTGATTTTAATGTAATAGGTTGGGGACGTTTCTAAATTCATTGTTATGCGTGTTGTGATGAGTGCGGCAAATTTTGAGTGATATGTAATTTTCTACCCCTTTTCCAGACCCATCCTTTTTAGTATGGCTGACATATCTTACCAGGCATTGCGGAACCGATCGGCCTGGTTAGATTTTCCCTGATGCTGATCAGAACTAACGAGTTTAGACTCCCAATCTGGTATTAAAAGGGTTATAAACTTGGGTGCAGCAAATCAGATGAATGCGCGGGGTAGAATATCGATCTGACGAGTCCCAATCTTCGCTGCCTGCCTCCCTGCGTTTGCCCCACTGCCGCGGCTTTCTGGATATTGAGCGTTGATTGCGGCCGGCACTGGGGAAATGGAATATCGATCGGTGGAGGGCTGCGCTCTAATGGAACGGCTGTGCTGTGCATGCAGAAATGGGAAGCTGACATAACCTGAACATGAGTGGAATGTTAAACAGGCAGAGGGCTGCTGACTGCAGTGGTACATGCAGGGGTTTTTCTAGAAAAATTTAGCATAAGGGAGCAGATCGCAAGCATAGGGAGGGAGCAAAGTGACGGGGGGGATTTTTTAATGAGAGAAACACAGTTTGTAATGCTAGAAATTCCAGTAGAATGGATTGTTGTATTGTTTTATTACATCATTAGTGGAAAAAGATCATTTCGAAAGACTAAATGGTGTGTAAGTAGCCACTTAGGGTTCAATCTGAGAATTCAAATGATATAATGAAGGAGCTGGCTGGTTACATGAGGGAGCAGCGTCCTTACTCTCCTGTTTAGAAAAAAACGCTGTGCCATGCTCCAGTCTGCTGGCAAAGGGGATTTTTAATTGGTCTGGGATTATTTTGGAAACGGAGGTGTTCCTTTCCTTGTCAATTACCTCCTCTTGGAGACAAGGAATGAATTGCTACCATGGTTTGTAAAATAGGGTGTTATTTGTCAACCTCTTGTATTAAAAGGTCCGACGGAATTTAAGAATGGTTTTATTTGTTCATATTATCATATTCTCCATCCATATGGTCTCAATTTCAAAGCAGTACATTACAATATATCAGAGGCACTGAATACAAAGTGGCGGATCAGAAATTAACACTGGAAAAATTAGAAAACTCATAATATTTGATTTTCTTCCATCTTAATATTTGCGGCATGGCTTAATATTTGCGGTACGGTAGAAATCAATTTCTTCTAATCTTGCCGATATTACTAGAGACCCAGAGTGTCGGCTGTACAAGACAGATAACAAGAAGGTGATATTTGTATGGATGGCGCAGAGGTATGGATCCGTACATGAGGGGCACCTTTGGGGGGCTGTCTTCCCAGCCTTAGAAGACGTTCTCACTTCTCAGTAAACCCATTCAGGCCCCGTGGCTTGATTTGGCTTGATTCATCTTGAAGCATGATGTAATAGCAGTCATTTCTGTCAGGCCTCAATTCTGTCAAATTTAAATGACAGATGCTAGAGTAAAATGTTGATTGTTTATTGAGAAATCTAAACCGCTCGCAGCCTCACAGCTGAATTACATAAAGGTTTGTACATAAAAGTCATGTACATGGTACAATCACTAATAACTTGTTACATCTAAAAATGCCTTAATTTAAGATAACTGTGTTACAAATGTGTGACTAGCAGACTGCAGAGGTAGCTATAGATACTCATGGCTTTTTCATATGTTTCATGAAAACTCTAGAATGGCTATGAGATAATAAAATCTCATCTCTTTGTACAGAAACAGTCTTTGAATCATGCATGCAAAATGCAAACCGTTTCATTTTGGATTGTAGTCATTTGGATTTTTGCATCATGATTGGGGCCTTAGATCTAGTTTCTAGATACTCAGGTCTTTCAGGTTGACCCCTTTTAGCCCATCTGCAAAATAAAATGAAAGGAGACTAGCCACCTAATCTACCACTCCACTTGTGGTATTAGTGGTTTCTCCGGGGAAATGCCATTACATATACTGAGGGGGTCTAGTACTAGTAGTAGAGAAAGCTGATGCTGGTTTCAAAATTGTTATAAAGCTATTTCTTACCAGTCCAGTATATGATTGCTCATGTCTCACTGTTGGGCGATAGAAAAGCCTGGGGTCACCATGCTCTACCCCCACCCGCTATCATTACTGAACTGTCCCTTGGTATGCTGCCAGGAAGGCTGGATGTGTGACAGGTGTGTAGGAGGTGATATGTGGGCGAGGACGTGGTTGGAGGAAAGTTTGATACTGGATAAGTTTTCTTGACAAGAGATGGGGCTCCAGATGGGGGTTTGGAGACTACAAAGAGATATTATTCTGGACTGAATATTGATTGATAAACTGCATTGTATTTCTGGAAATGTGTCTGGTAGGTAATTTTCAGTGTTATCTGCACCAGTATGCAGAGAAAAAATATTTTTAGCCTTGCGTCATAATATACTGTTTAAGTGATTTACATAATATTTACTTACAGTTACACAAAAATGTCTGTGATATCTAAAGGAGGTTTTAAATTGACGAAGGTAAACAATACTCATAGGAAATTCAAACTCTACTACTGCTCTTCTTCAGCATGACTAATGAACTAACAGAACACTTATATATGAGCAAGTGGAAAAACCTGTTGAATATGACAAAGACTCATGTAGTTTTTGCTTGTGTTTTGTGCAGGTATGGGAGGATTGACAGCGTGAAGATTCTTCCCAAGCGCAGTTCGGAGGGTGGACTCGCAGCCTTCGTAGACTTTGTTGACATTAAATCTGCCCAGAAGGCCCACAATGGGGTCAACCGCATGGGCGACCGGGAACTGCGCACAGACTACAACGAGCCTGAACGTGCGCCGGGAACCGTGGTTCAGATTCACGAAGAGGACCCGGCTACGGTGCGCCAGCGGGAAATGGGGTACCGGGAGGGCGGCCATCCTTACGGCCCTGCGTACGGGCGGTACACGCGCTTCGATCGTAGGTCGGATGGGTAAGTGTGGTGTGGCAGCGGAACCAGCCTCACTCTCTTGATGTATGGTTCTCATGAATTGTTCTCTCCACAGCTGACGATGGAATCCGCCAACCGAGCGAGGGGGTGGTGGGCATTTGGAATTTACCTTTACTTTTACATTGGGTTGGTTTTGGTTGGCTCAACTCTGGATCTGTGTGGACCCCAACAACGGATTTACGCCGCAGACGGATTACACCACCACCACCACGGAGGTATAGTTTTAGTTATAATTCCTACCGTCAGTGCCTTATATGGAATATACCACCGCCTCATTTCATCTTCACACCACCACGGATACCTACCTACCATCACACCGGAGTACCCTCAGTCATCGCCATGCCGACCAACAGGAGTATCGCGGAGTGTACGACAGATAAGTATGTGCCCGGTGTGCGGGAGGGCGAGCGAGTACTTGGCTGTAACTGTAAGGTATAACTGTGTGTAAGAAAGACGTGACGTGGGCTCTTGTGTTGTGAGTGTGTAGTGTTGGCACGTTGTACTACTACTAGACAGAACTACAAACAAACTCCCCACGTACACTGGCAACAACAACATTGCATTAAAAAGAAAAAAACACCGGGTTTTCTAACTTTTCCATTCTACCGTTACATCTTATGTACATGGTAGGTAGTGACTTGAGGGCCATTGTAACCCTTTAGGGGATGGAATAGCTTACAGTACACTAAACCTGTGGACTACTGAACTAGGATATACCACCTGTGCCTTACAAGTTTACATGGGAGATATTTTTTGACTGACATCTTCTGGGTACTACCTGCTGGTGGGAACTGTCAGTGGTTTGAACTTGTGGAGTACGTATGCAGAGACACTGTTACGGAATACCTGACCATGGATATACACACATCTGGATTACTTAACTTCAGTCTCCAAAGCTATCCTTGAGAAAAGTGACTGACTCGCTGACACATGGATGTAGTGGTCAACTTATAAGAACGGTGGTGACTTCAGCAGCAAGTGTTATACTTGGACATCAGCAGTCAACTGTAACTGCAGACAACACACCCTACTTCTGGACTTAGCAGTTTTACAGACATGGAGTATTTGTAAGCAGCATGTTGGATAAATTATGTCTACGTCAGCACAACGAACTGAGCTATCTGGAGACATGGTTATAAACCTTCATTCTACAATACGGATGGTTACGTTCCTGTCTTCACTGTCCTGGACTTTATCAACTGGAAATATACTTTGAGAATGACTGTTTTTTTATCATCATCAAGTTGCGAGTGTTGACTACAACAAGAACTATGCCAAAGTTCGGTTCTGTTGCAGAGCCGAATCGTTGGAGAACGATAATCCGGCAACATCACGTTGGGTGGATTTAATGGTGCGTTGCAGTATAAGCAGATAGAACTGTACGTGACTGGATACATCAGAACTGTCCATCTGTGAAGACAAGGCCTCCCCGCGGGGGTTTTTACTCACAGATAATCGCGACAGGAACTTAACGATGAATCATGTGGAATACCGAGTGATACATGGGTGGTGTCATCTCCATGGATACGAACTGATCACGCTGGAATACTTCTGATTGGATGTACGAACGAACCACGGCTCAGCGCCGATGACGGGACATATCAGACACATCATCCGGGATGTAACTGTAACTTTGCCGACGGCCCCAAATTGTGGTTTGATGTTGAATGTGGTTTGCGGTTTTGTTGTTTTGCTGGCAGGCTTGTCCTGTCGCCCACCGTCAGTTCCCCTTCTGTAAGACTTAGCCAAACGGCCTCCGGGTTATATTGGATTATTACACGGTGTGTTCGATCGCCCACTCCAGGTTGGTATTCCCTAATACTGCGTGGCTTCACTGTTAACTAACCAGGTAAAAAAACTACTCAGTAAGACAAGGAATACCAGGCTAATACTAACCATGTAACAACAGTCAACAGATGTAGGCAGAGGTAGCACCTAGTGCACTCTTTTTTTCTACTGATGATCTTCTGAAGTCAACATTTTCTCTATTCTTACATGAATAGTGCTGCTGGGCTTGTTATTTTTTTCCTCTACATTACAGGATTGTATGTGTATCTATTGTGATGAAATTCTGTCCAACAGTATGCATCACTTTCATTACACCATGTGTATGTATGATGACTATCTTGATACTCTCATAGTAACTAACTCTTGCTATGGAACTGAAGGGAGGTACTTGACTACAGAGTTGTAACTGCCTCAGAGCAAGGGCTGCAACTTGATTGGCCCTTTGTTGGCCAATCAGAGACAAGAAACAAAAGCTTCTACTTCACATATATGGTAATTGGCCCCATTGGTTTTCTGCTGACCAATCATGGATAAGAAGCAAGATTCTCAATATTTGGCTTTATTTGATTGGCTCTTTTTTAGCCAACCAGGAAAACAAAAGCTTTTACTTACTTGTTGAGGAAAATTATGCCAAATGTATGCCAAACTTAAATAATGAATAAAGAAACTGTGTCCGAAATTCTTAAGTTGCCTTTTCTGCAACATTCAACAGCTTTGTAGTCAACCTTTCCCAGTAGGTAGGAATGAACTTCAAAGTGGATACTTGTCATCTGCTTTAAAGAAAGAGAGGTCTCGGTCAACACTCAAGCTGACCAAAGATGAAGATATTTTATCTCTCCCTTTCAGCATCTATTTCTGTATTTCCCTTCTATGATCTTGTTTGTAAAGGTTGGTGGTGGTGATTTTTACCATAGTTTTTCCACAGTTGGAGGTATTCGGGTAAGTATGTTGTAAACGACAGGGCCTCTCTTCTCTCCCTCTGTTACTACTACCTTTATCTTAGTGTCCAAACCAACGGTCTGACCTGCTCTTCTTACAACACCAGGATGCCTGACGACCGAGGATACGACCACAGCCCATACTTTTACGACCGAGCGTACGACCGCCGCCACTTGGGTTACGTAGAAGAGGACCCGTACCAGCGCGGAAGACACATGGACTACGGGCCGCGTGCGGCGTACTATTCCGATAAAGGGCGATTGTATGAACAAGGTATAAAACTTGTGCCATTTTTTTTTTTTTAGTAGTTTGGTTGCCTCAAGGTAGTGAATTATATATAGTGAATTGAGTGAATTGTTGATCAATATAGTCCTCAGCGTATGGCGTACCATTGCGGTAAAGGGCCAATGTGTGAACAAGGTATAAAAGTCGTGCCAACTTTTTTTTTTTCTCACACTTAAAAAAAGTAGGGTGGCAAAAAGACAGTATTAAATTGGCCAGGCAGTATCCATTGGCCAGACGGTCCAGTACGCCACCCAAGTTGGTGGTGGTAGCGACAAACAACAACAGCCACATACGAAAAGGTAACATTCTTCCCCCATCAACCTCTGCTTGGACTCGGAGAGTAGGAAAGACTGATGCTGGCTAGAACACTGGTTTGAACAGGGCATCTTTCCCATGTCATGTAGGTGATAACGAGAGCCCCTCCCTCCTGGCTTTGTTAGAATAACAAGACAACAAAAGAACCCCCTAGGGCATGTTTCCAGTTTTAGAGAAAGACAACTGGCTTGCCCCTACAGCAATTTTTTTAAAAAAGTGAACAAGAAAACGATACAAAATGTAAAATCAAAATCCATAGATGTCATAACATGGGTACAAAAATTAGAAACACTGAGAAATGTAGCAAAGAAGTATAGCCAACAAAAGTAGGTAATAACAACATAACAAAACCAAGTTGCCAAATCATAGACATAATCCAAAATCAGGTCCAAATGCCATTCCAAGATAAAAAAAATCTTAGGAGGTTAGAGGTCGTTTTCTCATGGCTATTTTAAAGTCTTATAAGGTTGAAATCTTCCTTATTCTTACAGGTCGGTACAGTCAGGAACCCACGCGACAACGTAGCGAGCTACGGGATTACCCGCGGGAAACTCGGGAACAACAGCACTCGTCCCGCGGAGACAGAGACTCTCGCGAGCCGCCGCCCCCGCGGCCGGAAAAGTACGCGGACCCCGCGGAGGACAGTAGCAGCAGCAGACACAGCCGCAAGCCTCGCCGCTCGCAGGACGGCAAGAAGAAGTCACGCAAGTCGCGCTCGAAGAGCGAGAGTGGGTCCAGCAGCGGCAGTTCCTCCAGCAGTTCTCACAGCAGCAGTAGTAGCTCCAGCAGGAGTCGCTCCAAGAGGTGAGAAATAAATAGATAAAAGATAAACTAGAGAAGTAACATTTGCAAAGCAAATGCATAATGTTTACCTTCGGACATGGTCTGCTCTGTTAATTCTTACTCAAACACATTCACTTACATGTACTACTAGACTATGGTGGCAGGAGCAGAGTAGACCATGAAATTGCAACATTATGTAAACCAACACCAGTCACCATGGTGACAGACGTCAACAAATCATGTCATTGGCCAGGTCAGAGGTTAGTGTTTGGAACAGAAAAGGAAGAAACTGAGTAAAAACGATATGTTTTCCTTTGGTAAACATTATAATAGATACACAAGAAATCTGGTATGTGGGTATGGTTTGTGTTAAAGTCATCCAATACAATTTCAGGGCTTTTTGTATCAGGCTTTCTTTTTTGCACTGGTATATTTTTTATGTACAAAAATATACCAGTGCAAAAAAGAAAGCCCGATAAAAAAGTCCATAACACTCCAAAGGTAAGCCAAAACCCAAACCTCTGCTTGTAGAGTACCAGTGTTTACATCAGTGAGTCTGTGCCAGGAGCTTGTCTGTACCACATCCTGTAGGACATAACATCCAGGTCATGTGACCAGGGGTTGCCTGGCAACAGCAGCAATTAGATTTCCTAAGCTCTAAAAGCTATAAATAGCCTGACCCAGATACAGGCTGCTTTTCTTTTTCTTGTTTCCACTCCAAAAAAAAAACTTAAAAAAATACACGCTGGTTATGGTCATTATGTTATAGGGCTGTTTACTGTGCATACTTTCAAAGAGGAAGAAAAAAAAAGCTGAAAGTAATTAAAAGATTTTATTTTAATATTACACAGCATTTTTTTTATATGATAGCTGTTTAGTATAGACTTGAACTGTTCTTAGATTCTTGATTTGTGTCATCTCTGTCATAGTCTGTCTATTTGTACAGTACTATATAAGATTTATATGAGCGAAAACGTGAAGTTTTCTAATGTTGTGTTTTTGGCTTGTACTGTATTTTGTTGCTGGAGGCCCGGTGGTTTCTTGGCTCATTAAACATTTATGTCTGGTGATTCATATGCTAAAACTGGGGCATAAGTTATTAAGTACTGTGTTGTCTCCAGCTGGCAGTGGTCCATTGTTTATCGCGATATCACAGTAGATAACGCAAAATTAGCATGCCAAAAACTGGGGGTTTTGGGGGTTTCAGGGTCTTTGGGAGCTTTTATGTGCAATTTTCTTATTGCATATAGACAACATAGATGGCCTGGTTGAATTACCCCCGTTTTTTGAACTGGGCTAATCAGAAAACAGCCGAAGACCACCAAACCCCCAGTTCTATAGTATAAGCCTGCTACGGAGGCTAAGGCAACATGACCATTATTGGTAAATCATGTTGCAATATAGCAAGTTACTGTCATCTATTCGTGGACGAAAACATGATTTTAGTTCCTCATTCTGCATTCTGGAAGGGAATAGTTAGATGCATCTGGCACTTTGTCTGTTCCACTGTTCTAATTTTACTAATCTTTGGAAAAAAGACCTTGTAACGATCTGTGTAGAAATGCTGTACTCTATTTAGAAAGTATTTCGTGTAGAACTGTTGACTTAAGTATTTATTAATCTGTAATTACACACATTCTAAAACACAAACATATGCAGAGCCACAAATAGACAAATATTATTAGGTCCGCCTCCCCCCAGGTCTAACAATGGTTAACCCCCATGTGTACAGCTGTTTCCCATCAGCCCGCAGTGTTTGTCCTTCATGTGAAGGTCACAAGCCAGGCAAACTCTGACTCCGTAGAGAAAGATCAACAACCAACCAAGGGACATGTTTGCAACAGACATGTTTTTCCTGGACCACTCCATAACTAGTGCTGGGGCCAAATCAGTCCAATAGCACACAAGCACATAAGAAAACTTTATTATAAGAAAGTTTATTGCAAATTCATGCCCAAGGGCTATTTGCAAGAACATGATAACAAAAGTAAACAGTAAAAATGATAATACTTAATGCTAATGCTACTTTATATATACATTTGTAGTTATTGTTGGGTTTGATTTCTTTTTTAGCATTGACAGATTCAAAAAAAATCTGAATTATCACTAATTTACATTTACAATATTAAATTTCCTCGGATGATTAAAAACCTTAAGAGAAACATTCAGTTACAATGACATCATTTGTGATATACAATTTTAAAATTACAGAATCTAGAGTAAGACTATGATTTAGCCAGCGTCGTACTACCATGGGACCCAGACCAGATATCGCACCAGTTAAGGACCATTAACTCGTATAACTGGTTCCCTTTGGTGACCAAAAGCAGAATATGGGCCTGGGCCTATCTAAATTACCGATATGGGGAGTTGAGCCCAAGGGAGTTGGCTGGCTGCTTCAAAGGTGTCTGGCACCCAGGCTAATTAGGGACCAAGCAACTGTTTTCAGACAGGGACATCGCATTTTTTCTTCACAGATATCAGTATGCTATGGAAATTAGGGCTGACTCAACCAAGGAGGTTATAGCCACTATAACCTTATTGAGTCAACTTACTAGATTGAAGAAATGAGCAGGAAATTAAATGAAAATGCAGTTTTACTGACCCGAAATTGCTTTGGGTGACCTTAAAGGTGCCCTAAGCGATATCAGGGCATTAAAATAGGAAATATTTAGAACAAGACAATCTGTATGGTATTGACACATACCACCAAGTATCAGCACATTTGCATCATTATTTCATACGTTTGGCGTTTGAAGCAGCACAGAAACTAGCCCAGAGACAAGTTGCTTGATTTATCGGGGCCTCTATTTAATCGGCCCAAAAATCCACCAAGTAACCGTTTCCCGTCGACAATTTTCGGGAACTTCCGCGAAAAATGGAACGCGCTGCCTTGGTTCCATGGATCGAACGCAAGAGTTCGAAACCGATTGACTTCAAATTTGACGATTTTTGAATGGTCAGAACCTTGTATTCAATTCCTCTTTTTGTATATACTTGAATGTTATCATAACACTTATTATATCGCATGTGGTAGCCACATTCATACAGTTTCTCATACCAACGGAAACGAATTTTATGACATTACGCGAAATGTATCAATATGTAGCGGAAACTCAGGATGACCTGCAGTTCGACTGATTCAGCGCGTTCGTGGTTAACCACGTGACTCGTCCTCGGCTCTGGTCGGAAGAAGTCGGAAGTGTTCGCGAGCGCTCGGAAATTTAAAAAATGGCCGACACCACTGCCGGTGGCGGGAGGCACGTAGTTTTTCACGGCGTTCGTACGGCAAAGCGGCATCGAATTTTTGCTCCATGACTATCGGTATGGGATAGGATAGGGTTGATTCAACATACTGCGTGAAAATGTGACAAAAAGACAGACTTTTGAAATTTAATGCTCCCAGCCTACTATCGGCCAGATATCGCTTAGGGCACCTTTAATTAACATATGGCTTCTCTCAACTGAGGTAGTCTTATTCTGTTTGACCTCTGTTCAAGGTCACAAACATGAGAAAGCAGACGTCTGTTTTCCTCTTGGCTGTGTTTACTAACACGGCCGCCCTGATTACAGATTAACGACTCACAACTTCCCACAGAACGCTCCGTGTGTACTTGTGTCAAGGTCACACGTCACGGCTGACAAAAAGCAGACAGCCTGTTAGATCATGGCTGGCCTTTTTCCTACACCTTTGACAGCTTGTGTTCATACTAGAGCCAGAAGAGCTTTACTAGCCCAGGGCTCGAAATACTGGGTGCATGTGCACCTTAGTGCACCCAAATTTGGAGCTGTGCACCCAATTTTTTTCTGTGGATACACCAGTGCATTTTGTGGGTTTACGTATGTGTCAAATTCAAGATGTTAGATCTAGTGACACCAGTGCACCTATTCCCAAAAATGAATCTCGAGCCCTGCTAGCCTCTACCAGGCTTTGAGAAGTGGCTAGAAAGAGTAAATTTACTAGCCTCTACTAGGCTTTGAGAAGTGGTTGGAAAGAGTAGAAATTTGTCAAATAGGCAGATGATATTGAATGCAGCTCACAGCTCTATTTTCATGTGTTGCCCTACTCTCCAAGCAGAGGTTGATGGTGGAAGATCGTTTGCTTTTTATATATGGCCCCTTTTTTTTGTTACTACCACAAGGGAAATGGTTACAGACTGGCCAATTTGATACTGTCTTACCCCCACCAAAGATCTGCTCGGAGATTAGTGTTGCCCCAACTTCCAGTACATTCTTCTTGTAGCTTCATTGCGATTACTGGTATTCCCCAGCATTTCACCCTCACCAATGGAAGGTCCCCAGACTCCCCACCCTTTCCACAGCAGGCAAACATAGATGAATGCCGTGCGTCTGGCGGTGGCGCGTTATTAGACACGGGTGGCTGCCGCTCTGAGCACCTCCGCAGTCTGTACCCTATACGACCTTCAGTCAAGGGCAAACATGTCTGTCTGGCAGCGGCTGCTGTTGACTAATAGAAGCCTTATTCTAAGCCTCAGTCAGACATTTTAATCATAGGTTTTGTGATAGTAAAAACCTGTTTTATTATTTTGTGTAATTTGCATGCGTGGTGCTTTAATTCAACAAAAACCAAGATCAAAGGGTGGTTGACTTTCTCTGAATTTAACAAAACATGTTACAAGCGCAGAAAATTCTGCATTATTCATAAAGTAGACCCCATTCAGTATTGGGGTGAACCTCTAGCGGCAAACTGTTCTCTTAGCACAGACCAACTCTTGAAGCAAAGAGATGGGTCCCCCAACAGGTCTGGAGATGTGTTGACACGATTTGTAACTTAAAACTGAAAATTTGTTGACAGAATAGACTGCACTATACATTGGTGACATCCAGGTAAACAATACTCATAGACAATATTCAAACTCTAGAGTCTAGTCTCTCAGTCTGGTCTCTCAGTCACTGACGAAAGCTAGTGGATACTAGTTGAAACGTCTGACGTTTTCAAAATCATATCCAGTTGCTTGAGTAACTGCTTTTTGGCGTCTAGAGTCTAGTATTGGATAAATTATTGAGATTTTTTTGCACAGCTGGTACTCCACTCAAAGAACAATCTTACCAATTCACACTATACGAATACTCACAGCATAAACTGTAAACATTCAGTGCTGTTATTATAAATAAGAAGTCGACTACAGAGATTTGCTGGAAGGGCTGTTCATGTGTAACTGTAAGTGCCCGAATGTGGGGCTAACTTTAGTTCGAAAGGTAAGCGCCGCAATGCGGGGCTAACTTCAGTTTGAAAGATAAACAAGTGTTCTGTAATCACGTACTACACATACTACCCGGCGGCTTGTGCTGTTGGGGTCACGGGCACCAGATTGTTGGCAAGTCCTACTCCAAACACAGGCCTTCTCCTCAGCTGTGAACAACCCAGGGAAGGAACTGTCTGCCCTCATCAGGGAACTCTCAGTTTCCTTGGCAGAGTGTTTACCCAGGGTAGCCTCCATAGCATGCCAAAAACTGGGGGTTTTGGGGGTCTTAAGGGTCTTTGGGATCTTTTATGTGCTATTTTCTGATTGCATATAGACAACATAGCCGGCCTGGTTGAATCACCCCCTGGGCTAATCAGAAAACGGCCGAAGACCACCAAACCCCAGTTCTATAAGCCTGCTACGGAGGCTAATCAGAAAACAGCCGAAGACCACCAAACCCCCAGTTCTATAAGCCTGCTACGAGGCTAGAACCCAGGAACAGTCAAGAAGCTGGCCTGTGTAGGTCCTGGCAGTAGTGTGTCTCCCAGGGTATTGTCATTCCACTGGTTCCATACTGTAGACTCTACCACACTACCGTTACCTCTGCAATGTATTATACGTGCTACATAGAACCTCTAAGCTGTAGGAGTTAGGCCAGAGCTGTAATTTTCTGGTAGATGTACTTGTCAGGAATACAAACTTCAGTCAAGTGCACAAACTACATTAAGGCTGTACATACACACATTTTGATTCTGTTTCTAGGTAACAAATTCAGACAATAAATGCACAGGTAAAATCCACACAAAGCCTGTATACACATTTTGATTCTGTCTACTTTTAGGTAACCTTGGCCGATAAATTTGGGCTTGAACTATTGAACATGACAATAATATGCACTGGTCAGGAATTAGAATGGCATATATAATCTCCAAGCAGATCTTTTGGTGGGAGTAAGACAGTATCAACTTGGCCAGTCTGTAACCATTTCCTTACAGACTGGCCAATTTGATACTGTCTTACCCCCACCAAAAGATCTGCTTGGAGATTATGGCATGTAGAGGTGACTGCCTGCAGTGCTATTGTTGACTGTGTGAGGTTCTATTTTCTCTGAGAGTTGGTATGTATGACATGGACTTGTCCTGGCATGCGACCCACTGTTATACACACATCCTGTGGATGACACGTTTCTATAAACAGTGCCGCTGCCCAGATCAGCAGTCGACTCAAAATAGTTGGCAGGAGATACAGAGAGGGAGAGAGTGCGGCACACATGCCCTGGAATGTCCTTTCCCCTCAAAACATGTGCTGACGTAATTCTGCTGAACTGAAGTGGAGGGGCTAAAAGTAGAGCTGCTGCATTGCACAGTCTGACTCTTGGGCATCAGCTGATAGTGCCTGATTGATTGATTGATTGGCCAGGGTTTCACCAGAATTTTTTCAAAGCATAGTGGTCAGGTACATAACTTCAGAAGGACAACTTTCTGTGGTACAAGCTGTGTATTGGTTCCCAGGGGTTTTTCTAGAAAAATTCAGCATGAGGGAGCAGAACAGTAGCTTGGTGAGGGAGCAAAGCAATTTTTTTTTACGAGAGTAACAGTTTGTAATGCTAGAAATTTTTATGATGTTTTGTTATTAAATTTTCACTGGAAAAAGACTTAATGTTGTGTACTGTACTAGTATGTAGCCACATACTATAGGGTTCAATCTGAAAATTCATATGAGGAAGCTGGCTGGTTACATGAGGGAGCAGCACCCTTATTCCCCTGTTTAGAAAAACCAGTGTGGTTCCTAATGATATAACCACAGTCTGTATTCTCCCTGAAAGATTTAAAACTCATGACCCACTGAGACACTAAGTAATTCGAGAGCTTGAACAGTGTAAAATTTTGTCACAGGACGGTAAAATAGAGTAGACCAACTGCAAACCAAATACCATCATCCGTCTTACTCAATCATACGTCCCTGACTCTATAAAATCTTCATGAGACCTCATCACATAGTCTGGTTCAATTTATTTTATCACCTATCATGATATCTATCATGGGTATTGCACCATGTGTGCAATTTTTGTTGGCCTTTTTATGATGAGGCAATATGTGGTGCTTTTGATAGACAGTATTGATGCCTCAGATAGCAATGGAAAAGGGAGAGCCAGTGGTAACTACAAAGGACGGTACCCAGGCTAAAGAGGAGAGAGACGTCAGAGTTGTATATTCAATAAATTCAAATCTATATTTGTATATATAATGCTGTAGAAATGTTTAGGTACAAGTCCAAAATGCAGTCAAATGTCAGCACACCAGTCACAAAACTAAAACTTGTAGTGTTGAAAAAATAGTGTTGAAGTAAGAAATTCATTTACTGTTTAGTTCCTTATTCTAGGATCTCATACATATTCATACATATTCTAAAATCAAAAAGCATTTTGGCATGGAAGACTATCTCACATCAATTTATAATAAATCGTTCACAACTAGCATAACAAAATTGAGAATCAGCGCACATTGTCTTCAAATCGAAAAAGGTCGACACCACAACACACCAGCCACTCAGAGACTGTGTCCCACATGTAATGAGAATATTGAAGATGAATTTCACTTTGTTATGACATGTCCCACCTATAGAAAAGAAAGAGATTCATTGTTACAGACTATTACCACTAAGACAAAGTTCAACCAATCTAGTACACAGTACGATACATTCTATGAATTATTGTCATGTCCTACTACCATATCTGCTTACGTAGGTCAATTTCTGTACACCTTATTTTATAAGCGAGACCAAATCATCAATTCATGAACATATTGTGACTCATATACTGCATAGATAGTAGTTTGTAGTAAGAAATGTAATAAGATAGTTTAGTTTTTTAGTATTGTTGTATTACTGCCACACATTGTACCATGTACGATTGTCGAGCAATAAAGTTCATTCATTCATTCATACATAAATTTCAGTGTGATGATATAGTAATTATGTTTATTTTGCAAGTGCAAACAAGGGCTTTGTAGAATAATGTCTGAACTGTCCTGTTTTAACAATAAAGTTACAGATATTCTTCACAATATTACTTATTTCACCATGGCATAACATCCAATACTCATATGAAATATGAGAATGTGTAATATTCTAAAATAATGTCACTCATGTGAAATATTCTAAGATATTGTCAGAACTTGCAAATTGTATTAGCATTCACTTAACTAACCTTTTCTACTTTTCTGTGCGTTTTGCATTACAGCAGTAGTTCCAGAAGTAGCAGTAGTAGCAGCAGCGACCGATCACTCAGGAAGGAGGGAAGAAGAGAGAGACAGATAGACAGATATGAGAAGCTGGAGGAGCCGCGGTCTTACGGACTCTGTGTCAGAAACTTACCTGTCAGATCCTCAGGTAAGGCAACAGGTGTACTTAACAATCTTAGGGCTTAGTAAAGACACTCTTTATGCAGCAAGTTTAAACTGTAATATCCAACACAATAAATTGGACTCACCCAAATTTCCGACTGTACAACTCCAGTCTTTGTCAAGGAATGAACAATCCACCGCTTCCGTGACGTCACGCAGATAACACACGTGACTCCGTGAGCAGTGGATCATAGGTTGCAGAAAGTCTGTGGCGCCCCCCGTCTCTGTAGAGGGATGGTTGTAATGCCCTGATGTAGATGGCCTCTTTAATCCCTTGTGAGGTCACAGAATCGGTGGATTGCTCATTCCTTGACAAAGGCTGGAGTTGTACAGTCGAAAATTTGGGTGAGTCCAATTTGTTGTGTTGGAAATTACAGTTTAAACTTGCTTCATAATTATTTCTACCAACACGGATGAACTTTCAAGACACACAACCAAGTCTTTTATTCAGCCGACGATTCGGTGACCATCTGTCACCTTCCTCAGGGCAATTCTGACTGGTTAACATTGCACTGCAGCACAGGTGTCACTGCTATAGATGCATTCCCAAACGTACAATATTTACATATGCGTGGTTACAGGAAACTGTATCTACAGTGCGGTCCCAAACGTACATTTATGTATATTTACATAAGCGTGGTTAAACGTACAATATTTACACATGAGTGGTTACAGGGTACTGTATCTACACTTCACAGACACCAGCTTAAAACATGGACTTTTCCACGAGTTCAAAAAGCATGGCAAACCCAGATGAACATTTGTGCTGAAAAATGTTAATGATATATCATAAATTCCACTTCACAGACACCAGCCTAAAAGATGGACTGTTCCACGAGTTCAAAAAGCACGGCAAAGTCACGTCAGTTCGCGTGGTGGGCATTGGAGAAGACCGGTATGGACTGGTGTTCTTTCGTCGGACGGAGGATCGGGACAAAGCCATGGACGCGTCGAAAGGCAAGCTGTTCTTCGGTGCACAGATGGAACTGTCTATCTGGGATGGACCAGGTCAGTTACTGTCAAATTATTTATTTTTGCAAGGACATAAAAAAGGGTCCCATTCCACTCTGTGCAGAGCATAGGGGTGGCACCCATCTCCATTCCTGTAGCCCTTGGGCCACACATTTGTGCAAGCTCTACAGCAGGGGGCTAGGCACTTGTAGTGTTGTGTGTTGACCTTCCCAGACCATGAAATTTTGCTGCCACAAAGACAAAAAGCATGTTGGCAGAAAGTACTGCACCTGTGCAAAACCCCCCCATTTTTCACGGTTTTCGTTGGAAGTTCGGTCACTGTTGCATCAGAATTTTGCCTGTTACAGAAGATATCTTTTCCAACATAACATTCGGAAACTACAGACGGGATGTTAGTCTTATATACGTGAATACAACTTTATATGAGACATTCTGCCAAAGTGCTATGTACATTACATTACGGTTACAGGTGCAGAAAAAGAAAAGGGGGAGTAGTGTAACAGTGGGGGGTTTATAGGCGCTACCAACTGACCCGGCCGAAGGGTCTAGATCTTTTCAGCCGAGTGGTTAGAGCGTTGGCATGTGGACTGGTGCCCGGGTTTGGTCGTGGGTTCGAACCCCGGTCCGGGACCAGTGGGTTTTTATCTGTTTCTACTGCTCGCCTCTGTTTCTTACACACTTGTCATTTTCTTCTCCCCCCCCCCC